AGGGATCCTTATTATAGGGGTAGATATAGGTACAAACGGTACGGAGAGCGGGATGTGCAATTAAATTAGCGAGCTCGGACTCTATGCTACATATCATCAACACTCCACTCGTATGCCTCCTGTCCCCTCCGTTGACGGTCGTTCTGGCGTTGAAAGAGCTTCTTTTCAAAGCCATTACCTCTGTCTGTATTGCAGTTTAGTAGGCTGAAAAGAGCGAGTAGCAATGGTACATACCCACGCCATCCCATCTGTAGCCAGGTTTAATGCCAAATCGATTCGGCGGCGGTGGTGGTCCCTTATATTCTGGTTTTTTTGGACCCTTCTTTTGCGGTTTCTGACCGGAGACGATGTCAATGTATGTAACTCGGATGAAGAGGAGCGTACCGATAAGAACGCTGCGGCAGGGTCATTCCATCTCATCTCTTCCTTTTGAGTCTCATTCAGCACTTCATCGTCTCGTCGTCTGTGTACAAGGCACATGAGTGATGGAATTGCGTCGGAGAACTGACGTACCTTTCGAATCCCTTTCCTCTTTCCAACTCCATCTCTCTCCGTTTCTGCTGTGTCTCTTCTCGTTGCACAATACCCTTGCCCCATTCCATCCTCTTGGCCTCTTTCTCCTCTTCCTCTCTTTTTCGCCTTGCAGCTTCCGCTTTAGCGGCTTTGGTATCGATCTTTCTACCGCTAGCGTCTCGATACACTGTTTCTTGTTGTTCCGCTGTCGGCTCATCATCTTTGCTATTTTGCACAGACATTTGGGTCGCGAATTGCTTTTGAAGATCCGCATGTGTCATGAGACCACCTGACCTTGATGGTTCATTGACGATCACCGGTTTCTCATCCTCTGGTTCTGGCTCTTGACCTTCCATTCCTGAAGGAGGTACGGATACCCAACCACCATCACCTCCTTCTGCTGTCGCGACCTTTCTCTTTTTGAATGTTCTATCGCTAGCGACTACAGCCTCTACGGCGTCATCTTCATCGTCTTCAGTTTGAAGAGGTCGACCCCAACCCGCATCTTCGTCCGTGATACCTATGCCGCCAGACTTTTGCTTCTCAGTACCATGTTTTCTCTTTTTCTTCTTCGCTGTCGGGTCTTTTGCTAGAATGGCATCGGCTTTCGGGCCACTCATGTATTTCTCTGCGAGATAGCGCTGCATGTTTGACATGTTTGATGGGTCGTAATAAAGTAAAGAACGTTTTTCTTGACGAGAAGTAGCCCTAAATTCGTGGCTCGGTGTTATTACAAATTATGCCAAAGAATAATGACGGTTATTCGAGGTTGGGAGTGGCCAGCAGTGGCAAGAGTCCAACCTATGCGCGTTGGTCGTCGACCACAATGTCTTCCGTCGCCTCAACTTCGACAGAAATAAACCGACCACCCGCAAAACGCGTACGATACCTCACAGATGATTCTTCATACACGACCTCATCCACCGCGGCCCTTATTCAGCGAGAGGCAGAAGAGCGAGCTACACAAGAACTAGAGGAACAACGTAGGGCATCAAGGCAACGCGTTCTTTCCGTTTGGGAGAGTCTTGCGGCTCGATATTCGCGCGAGCTTGATAACGATGATATTGTTGACCTCGAATCTTTGACTGTTATCCAGGACAGTGGGACGCTCAAAGCGATTCGCGAAGTGCCGTTTGGCTCGCTGGCCGCTCAAGACGACAGTGACAGCGAAAATGATGAAGACGAAGATGAATTGGGTACTTGGGATGATGAACGCCATTCAGCTCAGACGGCTTGGATTCGGCTACAGTTGAGTAGGCAGGGGCCACCGCTCACTGAAGAAGATCAAAAGGACCTCCAAGAATTTCTTCGAGCTGAACAAGAGAGAAAACAAACGGGAGAACCACTAGACGACATTTACGAATTCAGCGATGAAGAGCAGCCCAACAGGGGGGCCTCGAAAATCCGAATGCCACCTAATGAAGATACAGGAGACGAAGAGGAAGAAGATGTATCCGAAAGAGGTGACGTAAATGCACGTCGAGATGAAGAGGAGGAAGACGACTCTGCCTCATCTTTTCGTCCAACTCCCTCTGAAGGAAGAGCCAGTAGTCCCGGCTCCGCCAACGAAGGAGAGAATTTGGAACCGGAAGAGGTGGAACTGATTGAAAACGCTCCTGGTCCGGAAGATCTTGTTCACCGACCAGCCCCTCAACCCAATCGTCGTCCAACGCCAGAATCCGATGATGCCCACCCCAGTAGCGACGACGAAATTGGAGATGTACATGACAACCCAGACGACAACTACCGTGTCCGAGCGGCAAGTATCGAGCCTAGCTTCCAGCATCGATTTGGCTCTGTACAGCCCGCACCACATCCTTTCACTCTGCAAATCACTCGCCATTCCGGCAATCCACAGCTGTCGACCCCACCTACGTCAAAATCGAGTGCGCTATCAACTTCCTCGGACGTATTTTCGTCTGCCCTCAAATCCGTTTCTCCAGAGCGAAGCACTTCACCCCGTAAAGTCCGTTTCACCAAGCCCTCGAAAAGAGGCAGAAAACCAAATGTGAATCTGCGAGAGAAATATGCTTCGATAATAGCATCTCTCAAAGGTGGGCACAGGGAACCGCCGCCAACTAAACCCAG